GGGGAGGGGAGGTGTAAAAACCAGACAAGGCATGCAAAGCATATCTAAATCTAAACTGAAAACTTGAGTTCAGCTAAGTTAAATGGTTAAAAGTTTCAACTTAGAAAGACCTGGATCCAAATCCTGGGTCTCTCATTTAATAGAATTCTCACCTTTAGCAAGTTACATTAGCTTCCTGAGCCTGAGTTTCCTCTCGACAGTACAGAGATTCCCACCTACCTCACATGACTGTAGCAAGGGGTTTATGAGAACTGACAGTAGCTTGTGTATTAAAAGTACTCAGCAAGGAGCAGTTAGAGTGTGCTTATGATACAGTATGGTATTAGTGGGCAAAAATCACCTGTGATGAAGACCTGATTTTCAAATCTTGCACAGGGAAGGGCACCCTCTAAGATTAGCTCCCTCTAAGCTACACCCAAAATTAATTCCAACATTTTCAGATGAAAGATACCTTTTTTCAAAAGACATCTTTGACTTGGAATGCTGCTTCCTGTAACTCTGGGCCCCTCATGACCTCAGCTAAAGATGCGACAATACAAGCCAGGGGAAGCCCCTGTTCAGAAAAGAACGATGGACAGAATCTGTCGTTTAGACAGACTGATTCAGGTGTTTACTATGTGATTATAGTGGAAAACTCAACACAATCTACAAAGTTTAATATCAGAAGAAGTAAATGATGGTACAGCCAGGCAATGGGGATACTGTGCAACTATTAAAATGTTTATGAATCACTTACGACAAATTATGATGGAAAATAGGACCTAAAATTACATACAGACCATAATGGCTTTCAAAGTAGAAAGTGCACAGAATTACCAAAAAAAAAAAAAAAAGTGCCAATATGGTCACAATGGTGTCGCTGGGGTTGTGATTTTTTCCTCATTTTTCATATTTTAAAATTTTTGTGTAATCAAATCATATCATGTTATATAGTCAGAAAATATTTTCCCTAACACTCAATTTCTGTATTGATAAATACAACTTCTGCTTTTTCCCCCTCTCAGCAAGTAAGTTATTGTGCAAGTCAAAAGTGATCCCTTTTCTGTATTCTAGGCAGGGTGGGTCTCTCCGTGAACTCTAAGAAAACTCAGAGGTCCCATGTTTTTAAAAGAATTGTGTTTTACTAGAAATGGGTCCTCAGTAGGGTCACGTAAATATTACTTTACAGAAGTTTATTGCAAATATATTGGTTAAGAAATCTGATCTCCAATATAGGAGTTCTTTAGCAGATCCTTTGCTGGCACAATTTTAACTTGCAAAAAATAAACCAACAGATGTGGCCTGAGACTATTCTGATTTATGGAGGTGAAAAACGGTTTCCAATTGTATGATGACTCTTTGTTTAAAATTCTTTGAGTGCAGTTGCCACACAAGGTTACGCTGGTTTCAGGCGTACAACAGAGTGACCCGCCATCTACGTTGGTCTGTGCTCACAGGCGCAGCTCCCATCTGTCACCATACGGTACCATTACGCTATCACGGACTACATTCCCCGTGCTGGGCCTGTTACTCCAGCAACTCACTCATTCCCGAACTGGAAGCCTGTGCCC